TTTCATAAAACTACATCAGCGGTGGATAAGGTGTCATTTCTTAGGAGAGATCACCTGGAGGAGCACTGATCCCCCTCTGCATGTGGAGATAATTACTCTGTAAGTGAGAGCAATCAGTGGGGGGAGGCTACAGTACCACATATTTAATGTCTAGTCTCCTGTCTCTCGTAGAGAACATGCCGTTATCCTATGACACACTGTGACATATCTGGAAAAGACATGTTATGCAATATGCAGTGGCAGAGCTGAACAAAGCAATACTGCAGTGGAGCCTTAACAGCTAAATAAAGAAAAATAAACAAATAAAAACATAATTTAATAATATGATTTCATTAACCACAAATTGAATTTACCAAAGTTCTCTTCTGTGCTTTTTTCTTATATGCTGTTTGAAAGGATATAAATCCATTACAAATCTCAAAAAAATGCTATACTAATGCACTACTTTTGACCATTTTAATTTGCTCATGGCCACAGGTCCATGAGGATTTATCATATTGATGTTGATGTTAAAATAAAAATGAAAAAAGCTGGACTTAAAAAAAGAAGATATTTTCCCATCAGCCTGATTCATGAGAAAATGTATGGTTTTAATTTGATAGCAAAGTAATGTCTGTGTCACAGAGGTAATGGATATGTGTGAGAAATCCAGTCTCTGTCTGTCTCAATGCCTATTAATCTGTATTGGATAGTGAACCCTGCTGATGTTGTTAGCGTAGTCATGATTAAGATCAGAGCACAAACTGCAGCTCTACCTTACCCCCTCTCAGTTCATGCCCGTCACGATGCTAAGGATGCTACTGTAGGCACTTGCATCTTTTTTATCTAAAGGAACATTAGTACAGATCCCACAGCTGTCTGGTGGCAGAGTCACTGTATTAATATTCACCAAGCCCAGAGGCACTGGTCTCACAGTAAGAGGTAGATGAGAATTTTATCTTGTGGAATAGAGCTGATATATAAACGGAAAGCAGCCACAGGTAGAGTTCCACTGGTGTTTCAGTTAGTGGCTGGCAACATGTCAGGAGGGAGGTGAATCCCATCTACTGTCTCTCCGTAGCTGCTGCTGTGTGCGCATGACGGCATTGCAAATGAGCTTCTGAATGATTACCAGAATAATTGGCAGCAATACCTTCAGAGCTCATAATATCTTACCATAAAAGTAATTGAATTCTGAGAGACTGAAAAAACATAAAGATGAAAAAACTGCTGCTCTAACAATGTCTTAGGTTGTGCAGTCACTTGAATCAAGAGTAAAGCTCAAGTTGCTTGAAAATATTCTCTTTTGATGGTTCCTTCTAACTTGTTCATTCTTGAATTACTTGTAATGTAGCCCTAATACCTGTGATTTACACTGCACCTGTTGAAGTATCAGATGACTACAGTGTACAGATATGTTGGTATATAGTACTTATGATTGTTAAATCTGTTTGTACCTTGTTAACTACACTTCAGGAATAACCACAATGTGTCCATATACAATAGTTACTAGGCCGGTAACCAAAAATACCTTTGTAGGTACAGTGTAAATGCACAAGTATTAGGGCCACTCAGTGTAAAAGGCAATCGATGATTCTTTTTAATTTTTCGTATGTGTTATTTTCAATCCACATAAAAGGAAAAATGCCAACAGAGGGTGATGTCAGAGGGTTTCAGGCATGCAGTGATTAGGGGCATGGAAACCTTCTTTAAAGGAAATCCTATCTCTTTTGATAGGATTTGTTCTAGACCCACAGAGCATGTGGGATTCTGTGCATGTGAAAGGCAGTGTGTGGCTACACAAATACTGCAATGTGTTCTTTATAGCATGCACATTGAGAGATGACTAAATGAAGGCAGTAAACATTATATTCCCTGTCCTTTGCAGTCCTCTACAGATTGTCACACACATTTTTCAAGTCCACACTTAACTGCTTTGTATGAAACCAGTGAACAATTTTAATTTAATGACTTACATTCAGTTTTTCCTGTGATGTCCAAATAGGAGAATACAGCTGCTGTTTTACCCCCTACAGGCTTATTAATATTCAGCAGCACAACAAACTAATGCAATGTCTGTCATGGGTTCAGGATTCTATTAATAGACAGCTGTGAAATCATTAACACCTTGCACCAAAAGCATTGGAGAAGGAAATCATAGTTCTGTACAGGAAATGTTTTAAACAAGTCATGTTCAGAAAGAGAAACATTTTCCTTGTATTCGTAGCAGCATTTCCCCTCAGATCTTACTAATTGACATTTGGGCTTGGTGTACATTGTAGTTAAAATATTTGTCTCTCCCTACAGAACACGGTTAGACATTGGTTAGACATGGTGGGAAAACCTATGGCAGGTTGTGTTTGATGCTGCTATAAACCATTACACTGGAGCTTAGCGTGGCTGTGTCCAGAGGCATGTATCGCTGTGCTACTGCTTAGCAGGAAATCTGAATGCAAGAGAAATGTGGGCACGCTGTTGTCTCTGCCGCTCAAACTCCCGGCTCCTGATGACTTCATTAGCCAGTGTCAATCAAAACCAGCCTTGAAAGCCTGGAGTGATTTACAGACTGCAGAGGTGTTCAAAGTGCAATAATCTCAGTTCACTCCAGTCCTAACAGGGAAAAGCGCATTGCACCATCATGATAGCACTGAGAGACTCTTTGATGCACGTGAAAAAGCAGTTCAAAGGGCCACATCCAGGGTGCTGTGTGAGTGTAATGCACAACAGTAGCATTTGGAGCTTAAACCAAAATCAAGCTGTAAAAAAGAACATTCCATGCTGTTGTTCAGTAGAATAATTAATGTGTGGCTGTAAAGACACCAAGAGACAGGTTAAGTGTAAATTTCTCAGTTGACCGTCAAGAAGATGTGTCAACCCACTATATTTCCAGCCACATTCTAACACGCACAGGAGTGGTAGAACTTAATCTAGAGGTGGGGGGCTCGATCAGTGAGTGATGTAAGGTGGTCATGTGATTCACTCTATGTTATTCCAAGTGCAAATCCCTCTGGACTTTCTGAGAGCTGCATTTTTTTTCTCTGTGAACAGTGCAACAGTAAATGTCTCACACGGCACATATTTCAGGCGTAAAATGCTCACTTAATGCACCCACCAAAACCACCCCCCTTCTCCCCAACACTGCAAACGGTAATTCATTCTTTCATGAAGAGCTATGTCCTGGTTCATCTCATGCATGTACAGTGCAGCTGAATCATTCTGATTTTATGTACCACGCAGGGAACGCATGGGAGAAACGGGGTCATTCTGTGGCTACAGAGCGCACCCTCAGCATATTCATTGCAGTGTCAGGTCCCATAATGTCATGCTTGCTGGATTTGAAGAACATGTTTATGTACAAGCACTGGGTTTTATGGAACTACAGTTCATGCTCAGAACGAGGCGGTTATCAGAGAATGGAGTAGCAGCACACAAGCTATGCATTAGCGAGATAATAGTTATTGTGTCTGGTCCCTTCTGCAGCCTGTAACGAGACTCCTGTGTAAGATAAATGTTCCATATATTTCAGCAGAATCTGCAGTTGTTTCAGATTTATTTGATATATTACCTACCGACAATTGGTGTCATTTGCAAGGCTTTTTCACTACATCTTTTTTTTTTGCCTGGTTCTGCCTTCTCTGTGCTTCTACTTCAAACACACCACTGCCAGGAGCAGTTCTAGGTACACACTTTACCCCTGTATGCTGATTATCTGACAGCTGAATCTTCATCAATCATGATTTTATCATCGTTATGTCTGAGATTTCACTCAAATATCAGCATCTTCTGATTTACACTTTCATATACCTACATATAGGTATATATGTACAGTACTTGCCCACTAACTTAAACTATATCAATAAATTAATTACAGCTTAGTGTAATTACTTGCAGTCGCTTTCTCCTTGCAGAGCAATCTGTGATGATTCCATTGTCGAAGATGCTACTTCAAGTATAATCTGACTGATTGTCTGATAATAACTGCTTCAGTGTTTTGATCTCTTTTTTTTGTTTAAACTGAAATGCAATTATCTTCATGTCATGTTTTTGGTAATTGCAGCTTGCATGATTTAATTAATTAATTAGAGAAAGTATGCCAGAAGGGGATGAAAGGAAGCATGTGCAAGTAACTTAAAATCCATGTGCCATTACTGTAGGACAGGAAATGAGCCACAGGACTCTTGCTTTGCCACTGTAATGTATTCATCACCAGAATGTTTATCCCATTCCAAATATATATCTAAGTCTATTTATTTTCCATTCAATCACATATTTTGTATGCCCATTACAGAGTTTCAGAGGGATCGCACCTCATACATGTTATGGATCAAACTGATTTATATCAGCATAATGTTCAGTAAAATATGTGTGTGTGTGTATAAATACACATACAAGTAGGATGAATGTGGATAAAACAGAGGGAGTCTCTGAGTCTGTGTGGTTTATGTTTTAGCGTATACATCTAGGATCTGAGCAGACGAAACAATGCGTACCTTTTGCAGGCTTCAGGAAAGGATGTTGTGTTTCATAATTCATCCAATTCTATTATACACAGAAGAAGAACTATGTTTTTGTTTAGCTCATGCAGACCTGTGGTGTCTCTGGGGATTTATTCAGAAGTACTGTATCCAAGTTTTGAAGGGGGGTGTCTTTGTTTATTTAAGGTTATCAGCTTCTTATGTTTTCCAGCCAAGCCAGAGCCAGCTGAAAGCACTGAGATAATGATTCTGAATCAGAAGAAGATCTCAGAGGAGAACAGGAGAAAGAATACTTCATATTTCATACATATTCACTCAATGAATCTCCCCCTCTCCCTCCTAGCTATGTGCATAATTCTTTACATTGTAAATTTTGAGAAATCCTTCAGGAAAGTAACCAGTGGTGGTTAATTTCAGCTAGAAAATTAACTGCAGCATGTGATCATTATTTTGATTTTTCATTCATCAGTATGCCAGGGTATGGATACCATAAAATAATCTCTAATAACAGACAGCTGGACATTTTTTGTCACACATCTGGGTTAAGTACCTTGGGGAATTGAACCAGCAACCACTTGGTTACAAACCATGCTCATTACCAATCTGCTACACTGCCGCATCATCTATGTCTTCAGAGAACAAGTGAAAAATGTAGTCTTACTGCTGTTTTAACTGCTAACACATGTATATGCTTTAGTGTGTATAGTTCATTTTATGTATATATGTTACATAACATAGCAAGCTAGAACAAGATAGAGCATCCCAGATACTGACACAGTAATCCATACGTCTGCGAACACACAGAAAGCACTAGACCCTGGAGTATTCTATACGTCACATACTCATCAGCAATTCAGAAATGATGAGGGACGAAAAAACAAACAGTCTTAACTTGTCACTCTCACCGGAGCATTGTTTCACACTGACTGCTCGTGCAGCGGGGCAGAACGCCCTTCTAATTAGCTTGTCCAGGAAGGAAATGGACAAAAAGCGTGGGCAGGCGGTGACAGCTCATTTACTCGGGCCGAGTCTTTTACCCCCCCCCCCCAATCCCTGTTTCGTTGCCATTGCATGCCCTGATGAGTCCTCCTCGAGATCGCAAACACAAACACGGCAGCGGTACCTGAGGCCTGACACCAACACGAGGATAAAATGGGATCCAGGGTAACGTTAGAATCGCGGGCAGCATGATCATTATGAGCGGGTATTTGTAAGTACCTCTACTGTAGAACGTGCTAATGGAAGCAATTAACCATGCTAGGTGCATCTGATATGACAAATGGAACTATTTGTTGGGATACATCTGCTGCGTTCATTTGTACTCATGTGGGCAACGGCAGTACGCAGTGATGTTGGCAGCTGAAATGACGACTGATAGGACCGTTCATCCTCGGTGTGACAAGAGGACTGATTCCCTTAATGAGCAGGTGAAGAACACCAGATGTTACCATGCCATGTCACTTCTAATAAATGGTACAGCATAGCAGTAGTACATTGCTGTGGCAGCAGCATCGTGAATTCTTTTCAGCATGCAGTGTACCCAAGAAATGGCCAGTCTCCTTCTTCATACCAGGTCTGGATGACAAGAAAGAGGGAGAAATGTGTTGCTTTTCTGCTGAAAATATGTTAAACAGAATATGGAAAGTAAAATGCATTTTTTCGTGCCTTACAGATTTTCTGAGGGCTTGATGGACAGACAGGAGTCAAGAAATTTGGGCCACATACATCACGTTATTTGGAAATGAAGGCAGCGGACTTAATATAGAGTAAATTATTTTGCATTCCTCCACAGCTCATGAATATTCTTTGCAGTTCTGCTCATTCCCAGCTGTTTCCTTGCCTTTATTTGATTGATTTGATCCTCACCACTGATGAAGTAGGCATGCCATTAATTCCCTGAATTTGTGGTAGTTTTTTGAAGATGCTTTGAGTTTTGTGGTCCATATGCCAATGTGGAACAAGCCTCATGGTTCCCCAGGATTGATTGGGAAATCATTATATTGCTTTGTGTTCTCAAACTTTCTGAGCTGTGCATGCATGACAGCTGCCACACACAGTTGTTGTTAGGTCTCTGTTCATGGTGATGTACAACAGCTCTTGACTTCTTTGAGACTTGTTCTCATTCTTCACCTTCTTGCTTGTCCGCTCCTTTTTTGTTACTCTACTACCGCTACCACCAGCATGTGTCTGTTTTCTGGCTTTTGTTTTACCTCTTTGTCTTCCTCTTTTTTCTTCTCCTGTGGATGCCCAATTCAATGAGGGGTTTTTGGTGAGGATTTATTAACCTAATCCCCCCTCTGACTGACAGCTCACTCAAAACCTTCAGGATGGTGAATGATGGTGTGATTTTGTTATCCACAGCTGCACTCTGGGATGTTCCTTACCTTGCATTGGTGAAACAAGTGCCTGTGTCTTCCCTAAATTGTTGGCAGGTTTTTCAAAGTGGGACCGGTTTCCATTGGAAGTCTATAAAGTCTGGCTCTTATGTGGATGTAGTTGGAGTTAGTGACACCTAGCCAGCAGTTCAGCATTGACTTAGGTGTCGTCATATTTTCATAGCATATCTATTGTAGTATGTCTACTGGTATGTGTGGGTGTCAGGTATGAGTTGAGTTGTGGAGGATATTATGGTTCTTTCTTAGTAGAGGTTCCTTTGTTGAGATGACAGGATTTAGTTTTAAGTTTCAGTTTCTATACCTACACACTAAAACATAATGTTAGTACATGTACTTGTGCATCTATCTTTATCATTTTATTTAAGTTTAAGATCCATTAAATGGTAACATTTCAAAAATATTGTTTCTTTCCACCAATCACACACAGCAAGGCAATTTATGATAATATCTCATGTGGTTACCTTCAAGAAGCGGTATTTGGTGTTAATTTGATGCGATTTCATGTGACCATGTCCTTCAGCTCGAACAGTTGAATTTTTTTTTTTCATAGCTCATAATGAAACCTTCCATCCATCCACATGTTACCGTCAGGACCACTACAAATCCTGGCATGTTCACAGCTGGCGTTTTCACCAGCTCAATTTTCAGCCCATTCAGTTGCACTGACAGTGACAGGGTTTGGCAGCTGCACCATTACCGGCAGAGTTTCAACAGCGCGGGTGCCAGGCTGCTAGCTAACCCCAGCCTTTCAGTCACAGCGCGGATCCGAAAGGCTAATCCTAGCCAGAAGACTTGCACCCAGACAGCCATTTTGTCCCCCGTCGGCTGGCTCTGATAACGCAGTCTCAGTTTCACTTTTTAAAGACATGTCCCTGTTTCTCGGGGATACTTTTCCTCTCCTGGCCTTTGTCTCTCCTGGCCTTCCTTCTGGTTTCATGAGACACTCTTGCTGATTTGTGAGATTTAAGCTTCCCCCCTCAGGAGCATGCACACACTGATGCACAAGTTATGCTCTGAAGATCATTCCTATTACGCCCCAATGACCCTCAGTGCTAATGTATTCTGCGAATATGCGCGAGTGCATCATGGGTCAAAAACACAATTTTTGAAACCCATGTACTGGGCTGGCAGAATCTGCTACAACACCAGCACCCACAAAAAGAGGGGATTAGCTTACTGTGCAGAATCCCCAGGTCCCTTGAGGGGGGGGGGATGAACAGACTCTTATCATGGACTTTAGTGGGTGATGTCTTTAAAAGTGATACGCACATAATCTGTCAGTCTCCCCACAAAAGTTCACTGTGGATTTCACTTTGGCTGTGAGGCTGTTTAGGTATGCAGTCATACAGTGAATTCTTAAGTGAGTTTTTGATTTCACTTTTTTGAATGTTCAAATATCATAACTGTTTTTTTGGCAGTCACAATTATCAAGAAACAGCTCCCTTACTGTGTATTGAAGATTTTTAATCAGTAAAGAATACAAAGCAGGAGCAATATATAGGCTGATCTATACAATTCTTAGTCTGATGCCAAGTGCATTTGAAAAGAGTATGACTTTCCATTCACATCCACAAAGCTGTTACCCATATGACCAGGGGTCTGTCCCATCTATTAACATATTTAATGCAGTCATTGCTGTAATTATACTGCATCTTATGAATGATGCAACTGAAGGCATCCTCACACTACCCTTTTTTGCCACAACCAAACGGCTTTCGCTTACCTTAATTTTACAGACAGAGGGTAGCCTATGGTCATGCAAAAAGAAGGTAATGAATAATACATTACCCAATAATCACAGTCAGGAATTTGAAGTCCTCAGAAAATGTACTTATAATATTGATGTATAATGCATACAGCATCGGAAAGATATGTTTATGAGCGCCATGGTTCAATGTGTTATTGACTTGACTCAATTATTAAATATACGGCTCATCTTTCACCCAGAGTCATGGCAAGCTATGAAGTAAGGGCCCTCAGCAATTCACTGCTCCCATAACAAATTATCTTTCTCACATTTTTCAAGTGTCTCTACCCATCAAAGATCAGGGCAGCATTTCTCATAATTCATCAATTGTTGATGTAGCGTAAATCAATTTTAATGTCATTACTTTCTGTCTGTCTTTAGTGAGCATGCATACGGAGCCACAAATCATCCTTGACAGTGGCCTACTTGCCTGTCCATCTAGTGTCCTGCATCTCCCTATATCGTATCATATCTAAGTGTTTTGTGCTATTACTGAGTAAATCCTTTGTCCATCCCCCTATAGATAAAGTCAATAGCAACTTTAGGGGTCATGGACACGTATTTGCAGCCAAATCCAGTTTTTTTTCCAATGCTTACTCTTAGCATCTTCAAAATGTATGGTGTATGGCCCTGGCCATCTGGTAAGGAGATGAGTGTGCTCTTCATGATTCAGGCCATGAAACAACACTACACAATTTGTAAAAGGACTTTGTTGCGTTGCTTTTGATTTAAGATAAGCACGAACATCCTGGCGCAGCCATGCATGTCTGGTATGTAACGCCTCTGAGGTGTCTGGCACTTCAAAGGAGAGCTCCAACAGTGGTCACAAAGAGGTTACTGGAGATTCTCAGGTCTTTGTGACGCAGTGTCTACATGGGCTCCCATTGTCCAATCAGATCGCACAGCAATTGGAGGCGCAAGTTTTTTACCAGTGACCGAACCGTGTGCCCATGTGGAGTATAACCTTTGAAGTGGCCCTGTATGAGAGGTTTTTCCCCTCTTTGCTCCTCTCTGATGGTCTCGCACTTCTGACAGCTCTACTAGGGGATCCCTGTGTTGATGACATTTCTACTTGGCAAGGTCACCAGTAGACCTAGCTGTGGGTAATACATAGCACTTTTCCTCTGGCACAAGTGCGATCCAGCACGAAGTTGTTGGCTTGAAGACATATTCTCCGACCACGGCTTGCGAATTGGTGAATTCACAGCTGCGAATAGCCCAATCAGATACTCCTCAGCATTATCTTTACACACCCCTTTTCATGACATTTTGTTACGCAATAACAATAATTTATTCATTAATTCATTTCTTGTTCAGCGTTGCCTGTTTGTTTACCTGTTCTAATTCATTTTGTTTTGTTTCGTTAGTGTTTTGTCTTGTTAATTACATTGTGGTCTCATCTGTATTTTGTATTGACAAATTGGGCTCTAACAGGCTTAAAAGACCATATTTTATTCATTTTTATATTTGTTG